GCTCCCGCTTGAACCTCGCAAACTCTAGCAGGTCGGGGTGCGCGGCGAGGTACTGCGAGGAAGGCCAGCGGTGGTATTTCTCAAGCACCAGGTGGACAGAGAGGTCAAAGCGACGAATCTGTGACTGGACCCGCGGGAGCACAGTACAGGATTTACTGGCAGAAGGTAAAAAGTGCCTCAAGCAAAAGCCTACAGGAGTTACTGGCAGAAGGTAAAAAGTGCCTCAAGCAAAACAAAGCAGGAACAAGCTAAACCTCCAACAACAAAGCAGGAACAAGCTGAACCTCCAGGCACACAGTCCACAGCGAGAAGCTGCACAATCACACACAAAACACAAGCCCGAAAAGAACCAGCACTGCTGGCACCCAGACGCGGCATCGCCAGCCCAAGCGCGAAGCCGCGCAGACAAGCAGCCTAAGGGTCAAGCAATCAAGCAACAAGCAGCAGGAGCATGCAGGAGGAAGAAAATCCCTTAGACGCGATACCCGGAGGCAGCCGACTGACCACTGTCAGTCGAGACGTCCGCTGCCGCCACAAAGCGGGCGGCCGCGGACGGAGAAAGGGCAGCCGCCGACAAGGAGCCGGCGTTGCCCGGGGGTCCGCCTGGGGCAGCGGACGGAGGGAGGCTGGACACAGGAACACGGTACCGCTCGAGGTAGTCCTCCTCGCTAGCCTCCGAGTCAGCGGTAGCCGAGTCAGTGGTAGCCGCCCGTGACGGCGGCGACGCCGCGGCAATGCCCAAGGACCGGCGTGACCCGACCGATGCCGGGGAGGAAGCAGGCGAGCTCGGACCAGCAGCAAGCACCCCAGTGGTGTCGAGCTCTCCGGAGGCACCCGACGTCACAGTGAGGGACGGAGACGCCTCGCCAGCTCCGCGCCGATCGTCGGCGCCACTCCACGTGTTTCCCCCATCGGAGTCGGAGACCTCCGGCGAAGACTCCTCGGGCGACTCGACAAAGTCCGAGGAGGAGCTGTCCTCTGGCTCGAGAAGTGCTTGCGCCCGCAAGGGCGTCATGCGCCTCGCCGGTCTGGCACCAGACAAGAGCGCGGGAGAAACGAAGAAGACCCCTGGAGGAAGAAGCGCAGCTTCTGGAGATGGCTCGCCCTCACCAGCGTCTTGAACATGAAGCCATGCTGTAATAGATTTACTGGCAGAAGGTAAAAAGTGCCTCAAGCAAAACAAAGCAGGAACATGCTAAACCTCCAGGCACACAGCGCACAGCGAGAAGCTGCACAATCACGAACCAGCACTGCTGGCACCCAGACGCGGCATCGCCAGCCCAAGCGCGAAGCCGCGCAGACAAGCAGCCTAAGGGTCAAGCAATCAAGCAACAAGCAGCAGGAGCATGCAGGAGGAAGAAAATCCCTTAGACGCGATACCCGGGGGCAGCCGACTGACCACTGTCAGTCGAGACGTCCGCTGCCGCCACAAAGCGGGCGGCCGCGGACGGAGAAAGGGCAGCCGCCGACCGTAGGAGCCGGCGTTGCCCGGGGGTCCGCCTGGGGCAGCGGACGTAGGGACTTCTGAGGGAGGCTGGACACAGGAACACGGTACCGCTCGAGGTAGTCCTCCTCGCTAGCCTCCGAGTCAGCGGTAGCCGAGTCAGCGGTAGCCGCCCGTGACGGCGGCGACGCCGCGGCAATGCCCAAGGACCGGCGTGACCCGACCGATGCCGGGGAGGAAGCAGGCGAGCTCGGACCAGCAGCAAGCACCCCAGTGGTGTCGAGCTCTCCGGAGGCACCCGACGTCACAGTGAGGGACGGAGACGCCTCGCCAGCTCCGCGCCGATCGTCGGCGCCACTCGACGTGTTTCCCCCATCGGAGTCGGAGACCTCCGGCGAAGACTCCCCCTCGGGCGACTCGACAAAGTCCGAGGAGGAGCTGTCCTCTGGCTCGAGAAGTGCTTGCGCCCGCAAGGGCGTCATGCGCCTCGCCCCAGACAAGAGCGCCTCCAGCGTCAGCTGCATAGTGAGGCGCTGATAGGTGGCGGCGCGTTTGCGAGCCAAGACCTCAGCAGCAGGGCCGTCATCAGGCACGAAGTGCCGACCAAACGCCGCATCCTCAAGAGGCATCGAGTGCTGAGCATTGATGTCCGCGAGATACCAGATGAAGCGGAGGGTGTCAGGATGCAGGGTACCGTCCGTCGAGATGGCAAGAGGGATGAACGCTCGAGGAGGAGTAGTCATAGCATATGCAGCGCGATGTTTGCGAATCTTCTCAGACGCTGCAACATGGAGGGCGTCGAGGTTGACCTCCCCCCACTTGGTCAGGTCGGCAGAGCTACCAATGTAAGGGTGGACCAACGTCACGTCCGCCATCAAGCCCTCGTACTGCTCGGACCCTCGATCGCGGATTCCAGGGATGTGGATATCGCCCTTCATCTTGCGGCCATGAGGATGGGAGGGTACCTGCCGTCGAGAACGAGGATCCCCGACTGTATCGATGACGCTCTGAAGACCAGCTTCGTTCAGCATCGACCGAATCGTACGAGTAAGGTTGTCATGCGCCGTGGGAAGCTTGGAGGATCGGCGTTTGCAGGTCTGGAGATGATGTGCAGCAACGGAGGGATCGAGTGCGCGCTGACATCCATCACATTCCGTCGGACACTGGCAGATCGGCATGCCATGGAGATAGCAGTCGAGCATCTGAGCATAGCGGTGCGGGAAGGCCTTGAGGGGGTTGTAGCTCGAGACTCGCATCGGAGAGTGGCTCAGGTCACGCTCAGGAAAATGAGCAAAGATGGTAGACTGCAAGACCCTATCCTGCGACTCACGCTGCTGATCGGTCAGCGCAGCGCGAGCATGCACATGGCGAGGGAAGACGCGCATGACAAGAGGGGTCACATTTCGCTGCGCAGGGGGAGGAATGAAGTGCTCATGAGACGAGTCGACGAGAGCGCGCAAACCAGGGATGTGTACCACAGATGCCGGGGGGCGTCCTGCGTCATCAGTAAATCCACTATTAGACTTGATCAGGCACAGCAGCCGGGGCAGGTGGGATCGCGGCCGCGCCATCTGCAGCCGGTGCAGGAGCCCTCACACGACGGTAGAGGATCGCTCCAGCATTATGAACGAAGTCGTGCGCCTCAACGAAGAAGGTCGCCAGAGGATGCTTCTGGGCACGGAGAGATCTCGAGCAGTGAACGTCCAGGCTATGAGGAGAGGGCAGCGTCCGGGACATGGGCTGGTCAGAGTACCAAGCGAGGAAGCGAGCGATAGCCGTATAGTAAACAGCGGGGTGTAGACCCTCAGAGGGCGTGAACTCGTCCCCTCCCCGACTATGCGGAAGCAGCGGTGGTATTTCTCAAGCGCCAGGTGGACAGAGAGGTCAAAGCGACGAATCTGTGACTGGACCCGCGGGAGAAACGGAGAAGACCCCTGGAGGAAGAAGCGGAGCTTCTGGAGATGGCTCGCCCTCACCAGCGTCTTGAACATGAAGCCATGCTGGACGAGCCCGAGCTTCGAGAGCTCTTCGTTGAGGGTAGAAACCTTCGCTCGGAGCTGACTAGCATGAAATCCATCCGTGCCGATAGGCAGGCCGCCAAGTGTAATCCCGCCAGTGACGACCTCGAAGTGAAGAAGTTGAGTCTTGAGACGGCGCTTAAGGCTCTTCTTCAGCTGCGAGAGATCAGGGTGTTGATGCCAGGAGGGGATGTAAACTTTCGACTCGCGAGGTTGAATGTCTAGCTTCAGATCAGCCAACATGTACTTCTTCATAGCGGACGTAGCTGCAACGGCATCCTCGAGTGGACCGACAAGTACGACGTTGTCAGCATAGGCCAAGACTCGAACAGAGGGAAAAGCTCTGCGATATGGAGGAGCAGGGGGTGGATACTGTGGCAGAAAAATACGCTGGAGGGGACATCGACTCGACAAAGTCCGAGGAGGAGCTGTCCTCTGGCCGCGCCTGTTGCTTGGCCCTTCCTGCTTGTCTGCGCGGCTTCGCGCGTAGGCTGGCGGTGCCGGGTCTGCTGACAGTTGCCAGCAGTGCTGTGTGTGTTTGTGCAGCTTCTCGCTGTGCGCTGTGCGCGTCCGCCGCCGCACTGCAGAGCGGCATAGTAGTCCGATTTACTGGCAGAAGGTAAAAAGTGCCTCAAGCAAAACAAAGCAGGAACATGCTAAACCTCCAGGCACACAGCGCACAGCGAGAAGCTGCGCGAAGCCGCGCAGACAAGCAGCCTAAGGGTCAAGCAATCAAGCAACAAGCAGCAGGAGCATGCAGGAGGAAGAAAATCCCTTAGACGCGATACCCGGAGGCAGCCGACTGACCACTGTCAGTCGAGACGTCCGCTGCCGCCACAAAGCGGGCGGCCGCGGACGGAGAAAGGGCAGCCGCCGACAAGGAGCCGGCGCTGCCCGGGGGTCCGCCTGGGGCAGCGGACGGAGGGAGGCTGGACACAGGAACACGGTACCGCTCGAGGTAGTCCTCCTCGCTAGCCTCCGAGTCAGCGGTAGCCGAGACCAACACTAGCCGCCCGTCACGGACGGCCGCCGGGCGGCGACGCCGCGGCAATGCCCAAGGACCGGCGTGACCCGACCGATGCCGGGGAGGAAGCAGGCGAGCTCGGACCAGCAGCAAGCACCCCAGTGGTGTCGAGCTCTCCGGAGGCACCCGACGTCACAGTGAGGGACGGAGATCGTCGGCTCCACTCTGGATGTTTCCCCCATCGGAGTCGGAGACCTCCGGCGAAGACTCCCCCTCGGGCGACTCGACAAAGTCCGAGGAGGAGCTGTCCTCTGGCTCGAGAAGTGCTTGCGCCCGCAAGGGCGTCATGCGCCTCGCACCAGCTGCATAGTGAGGCGCTGATAGGTGGCGGCGCGTTTGCGAGCCAAGACCTCAGCAGCCGCAGGGCCGTCATCAGCGGCCGCCTGGACAGCCGCCGACGGCTTGAAGGAGCCGGCGCTGATCTGGTGGCATTTGGTCGGCACTTCATTCCTGATGATCGGCGGCCACAGTTTGCTTACCAGCTCCACCGTCGAAGAAGTTCCGAAGTTCACTGAAAGTTCGATCCGACATAGTCCAATGTTTACCAAACTTGAAACAACGTAACAGCCAGCGGCCGATTCGAAACCTTACCTAGGCTCTTCAACGGTGCCATACTACTAGGCTAGTTGACGTGATCCTGGACCGGAAGTTATTTCGAGCCTCGTAACGCGGCATCCGATACGGTCCGACGGTCCCGGCGACTCAGCAGCGACGGCAACTGCGGCATGCGGCCACTCAGACCGTGCGGTGTCCGTCACTCCAACTCAGTGCCAGGCTGGGCCCGGGGATCCCGGCCGCCGGGCGACGGTCCGCCGAGGGCGCGACGGTCACCGGGTGCGGCGGCGCCGGCCGGGGCCGGGCCGCCCGGCGGATCGGATCGACCCCCGGATGATCCGGCGGCAGGACTGGATCATCACACGAGTCATGTCATGATTACCCGCCGGTAGTACGGTAAACGCGACCGCCGACCCCAGGGGCACTGCGGCACTCAGTGCCAGCTCCTCGTCGGCAGCTGCTCACCCTTGCGGCCGGGCCCCGGCCCCGGCCCGGCGGGCCCTTCTGGCCGGGGCCCGTTTAGTTCACTGGATTAGTTTAGTTAACCGGTCATCACCATTGGGGTCCCAAAATCTTTTACGTGATTACTCCACCCCACCCCAAGTGGAGGGATGTAACTTTTACCATCACCCACCACATGACCTGAGAAATCTCCTAAATTACCGGGTCATCGTCCATAATCTTCCTACCCCACCCCTTCTTTTGAACCCCATGGTTTTCTTGCTTTGTCTTGTAGGCCCCAGGTCACCCACCCACCCCTAGTCAGTCTGCTAGGAGATAGGGGTAGGTGAACTGTTGGTACCAAGTGCAAGAATATCCTGCCAAGGCTCCCCCTGCCCTGCCCTGACCCTCCTGCTCCTGCTCCTGCTCCTGCTCCTGCTCCTGCTCCTGCTCCTGCTCCTGCTCCTGCTGCTCCTGCTCCTGCTCCTGCTGCTCCTGCTCCTGCTGCTCCTGCTCCTGCTCCTGCTCCTGCTCCTGCTCCTGCTGCTCCTGCTGCTCCCCCTGCTCCCCCTGCTCCTCCTGCTCCCTCCCCTTGAACCTCCTCCTCTCAACCTCTTCTGTCTCCTATCCTTCCCCTGGACTCTACTCCCCTCCTTCCTCCCAAGTCGCCTCGCCCCTCTCCTTCTCTTGAGCTTCTTGGCTTCCTTCCTCATACTCCTTCACTTGCCTCTTGTTGTCCCCCCCCTCCCCCCCTCGCTCCTTCCCCTCCCTCCACAGTATCTCTGCTCGCTTATCTCGGGGTTGCTTCCTGCCCTTGGCGTGTCAATGAGCCTGTGAGTTGCACTCATCGCACGAGCTCGCGCCATGGCCGACGCTTCTTCGTCGCCTCGTCCAGCGCTAGTGAGAGAGTTCGCCAAGGTGGTGAAGCTCAGCCCGCGCAGGATCGAGGATACGCTGGTAGAGCAGCTGCCACAGCCGCACGTGCCTGACGTGCGTCACTCAGCGGAAGGCGCTGGCGAGGTTGGAGGAGAGAGTGAAGGAGCAGGAGGGGCTGAAGTTGGCGGAGCTGAATGACTACTCTGATCTCGAGGAGGTGACGGTCCTTCTCTCCTCCCCCTCCTCACCCCCACCTCCTCAGGTCCCCTCCGTCCACGTGGACCCGCGGATCTCCAGGCACATCCTTGAGGTGCAGAGGCGACAAGACAGCTTCAACAAGCTCTTCAACGGCAGGTTCTCTCTCTCTCTCTCTTGCTCTGCTTGTCTCCCGTTACCCTTAGCCATGGCCTGTCAGGACTGAGAAGCTGTGTCAAGGCTCCATACTGAGAGCAGGGATGAGGTCCAAGGAGCAGAAGGTTCTGACTGCAACTCGCTCTCTGCTCCTCATCTTCCCTGGCAGCGCATCGGGTTCTCGCTCGAGCTCGATCAGACTCGATTCTACGACCCGGTGGAGGTTGAGGTGGAGCAAGGTGAAGCTCCTGCCTGCCTGCCTGCCTGTCCCACCCTCCCTCTTCTCTCCTGCCTGCCTGCCTGCCTCTCCCTCCCTCTTCTCTCCTGCCTGCCTGCCTGCCTGCCTGCCTGCCTGCCTCTCCCTCCCTCTTCTCTCCTGCCTGCCTGCCTGCCTGCCTGCCTCTCCCTCCCTCTTCTCTCCTGCCTGCCTTCCCTCCCTCCCTTCTCACTCCCTTCTCAGAACGTGTACCGGCGGAGAAGCCCAGCAAGGGGATGGGCTTCCTGGGCTTCTCGAAGATCTTGGGGGTGTTTACAGGGAAGGGAGAGACGAGGAGAACGGAGAAGGCGTTCATGAGCTCCAAGTTCAGCGCTGCTGTCATAGACAAGCGCTCTAAGAACTACAAGGTTATACCCTTCCCCTCCACTCTCCTCCTAATCCTCGGCTGCTGCTGCTGCTGCTGCTGCTGCTGCTGCTGCTGCTGCTGCTGCTGCTGCTGCTGCTGCTGCTGCTGCTGCTGCTGCTGCTGCTGCTGCTGCTGCTGCTGCTGCTGCTGCTGCTGCTGCTGCTGCTGCTGCTGCTGCTGCTGCTGCTGCTGCTGCTGCTGCTGCTGCTGCTGCTGCTGCTGCTGCTGCTGCTGCTGCTGCTGCTGCTGCTGCTGCTGCTGCTGCTGCTGCTGCTGCTGCTGCTAGTGATCAATTCTGTCCTCACGTTGCTTCAGGGCCAAAAGAGCGAGAAGGGCAAGAGATCGTCCTCGTGAGGTGATGCTGTTGGCTCGTCATGATCTCAAGTGGGAGCAGGTCAAGGGGCGATGGGTGTGACAACATCATCGGAGCTCGGTCTTTGCATGTTCTCTCTTGCTCCTCTCACGTCCTTGGCTCCTCCTCCAGCACTTCACCAGTCCCGTCCCTGCGCAGCTCCCGGGAGCGATCGCGGGGGATGCAGCGGAGCGGATCAGTTTCGCCGGTGAGGGCCGGCGGGTCAAGGGAGGGACAGGAGGGAGAGGATGACGAGGGGACAGGAGGGGCGATCGAGGGAGGGGCGAGCGACTTCAGCTTCGCCGGTCAGCCTCTCCTCTCATCGCTCCGAGCTGACGCCCAGCAGGTCGGGAGGATGCGAGACAGTCGCTCGGGCTCCGTCTCACCGGTGAGAGGAAGGAAGAGGGCCGTACAGCTGGGCCTGAGCTGAGAGCAGGAGATCCGCTCGCGTGACCGAGGAGGAGCCTCGCCCGTGGTGACGGGGATGGCGGGGGGTTAGAGGGGTCTGACATGCAGGCAGCAGGAGATGTCCTTGTCGAGGAAGAAGAACATCATCGGAGGTAGCGAGCGCAGCACCTCCCCGCAGGCCTTCGTGCGGAGGTGATGAGGGAGAGAGGAGGAGGAGAAGGTGACAGTGACAGGTCGAGGAGAGCAAGCGAGATCATCTCAGTCAAGAAGCTGCCGGACCCTTGGCTGGAGGAGGAGGAGAGCACGAGGCCTGTGCTGGTGAAAAGCAACTCACGTGAGGGTGAAGGAGGGAGGTGCGAGGAAGTGACTCTTTTCAGTCTCTCGGGCGGATCGATCAAGATCATTGAGCCCCCCGAGTCGCCTGAGGTTCGTCTCTCCTCCTCTTCTCTCTTCTCTCCTCCTCTCCTCGCACTGCCTTCCTCATTGATGACGAGTCTCACAGGAACGCCGCGGCTGGGCCCCAGGAGCTCCGCGCATCGAGTCGGAGGGGCGGCAGGAACTAGTGGACTAATGAACAGCTGCCACTTTACTTTACTCCCTCCTGTTGGCACTTACCTGGGCCGTCACTGATCACCTGCTCCAGCTGCTCGCACAGCTCCGACAGCTTGACGCTCTGGCCGTTCCTGTCGAGGATCTCGCGGGAGGGGACGAGGAGGAGGGCGCGCTTGAAGCAGCCCAGCGCCTCCTCCGGCTGCTCCCGAGCTCGCAGGAGCATCACGCCGAAGTTGATGAGGACCTCGACGTGCGATGGTTGCAGCAGCAGCGCCTTCCTGTACAGGCGCTCTGCCGACGTGAAGTCTTGCTCCTCCTCCGGCCGCCTGAACGCCAGCAGGTCAGCGTAGAAGGAGAGCGCGTCTGCGTCCTCTGGTGTCCGCTCAACGAGCTCACGGCACAGTGCCTCAGCCCTGCCCCTGCCCCTGCCCTCCTCCTCCTCCTCCAGCTGCATCACAGCATAGTTGTAGAGCGCTGCCGTGTCCTGCGGGTTCAGCGCCATCACTCGCTCGAGCGCCTCCTCCGCCTTGTGCTTGTCCCCGCGCAGCTCCTGCTGCAGCACCGCGAAGTTGTAGAGAGCGTCTGCATCGTCCGGTCGGAGCTCCATGGCGCGACGAAGATGCTCCTCTGCTTCTGCCATGGCGCCGAGCCCGTGGGTCTCTAGGAGGAGCGTCGCGTAGTTGCTGTGGCAGTGAGAGTCGCTCGGTCGAAGCTCGAGGACCCTGCGGTACATGCGAGCCGCTTCCTCCTGCCGCCCCCGCACGCTGTGCTGGAGCACCTGCAAGCCCGTGAAGTGAGGAGAAGGAAACGAGCAGGAGGGGAGGAGGAGGAGACGCAAGGGGAGGCTTGATGACGTCACCGCGAAGTTGTTGAGAGTGTCGACATGGTCGTCGTCGAGGTCCAGGGCCTTGTTGTACATCTCCTCTGCTGCATCGAAACTCCCACTGACCCTCCACGTCACCCGAGCAGCGACAAGTCTGGCAACTTCACCTGGAATGCAGCAGCCTTCCGTAGTTGCAGAACGTTCGCACTTGAGAGTTGAAATTCAGAGGGAGAAGACACAACCTTTCCTCTTCCTTGCCTCTCCTCCTGCCCTCACTCATCCACACTCACCGTCCGACGGGTTCAGCATGATGGATCGCTGGTACAGCCGCGTCGCCTTCTCGAGCTCCTCGTTCTTGCTCTGCAGGATGTCTGCGAGCTGCATCGTGTCAACACAGGGGGAGGGGGCAGGGATCCTTTCTCACCTCCCTAAGCGCCGCAGCATCATCGCTCCCTTCTCCCTCGTCCTCGAGCTGCTGCTGCTCCTTCTTGACGTCCCGTTCCTGCATCACCTCGAGCAACTCAGAGTCATTGGGAGAGGAGGAGGAGGAGGAGGAGGAGGAGGGGGGGGGGGGGGGGGGGCGGGGAGTGCGGTGGGACGCAAGAATGATTTCATTCCCAAAGAACCGATGATAAGTCAAGACATCAAGAAAAAACACCCTAACTCCCTTCGTTGCCACAAAGGCTTGGCTCTTCGACTGCTCGGCAAGATAGTCGACAATGCCGACGAGCTCATCAACCAAATCGAAGCAACCTTATCTAGCGAAGACACGAGGGGCGTTAGAGCATTTTGGAGTGCAAACCAGCAACTGATGATTGGGATCGAGCGAGAAGGGACAGATGACTGGATCTTTCTATCACTGCTACCTGCAAACACAATCACGAAAGCAATTGTAGCACTAGAAGATCGGATGAAACAACATGGGAGATAGCAGGATACCGTGATCTCACGGATCATCTCCCAATGCAAAGGGTTGAGAGCTAGAGGACGCTGACCATACACGATTCTTCCTCAGCGTCACGCATGCACGAAACCAAGGGACCTGCTT